TCTAACTCTCTATCCCTCTCTCTTCCTCTCTGTAAAAAATCAATAAAATATTTTAAAAATACTTTAAAAGAAGAATAAGTAATAAACTAAAAGCATTCTACTGCCAATCAAATTGTCAACTGATAGTGATGATTTTTTAAAATATATTTTATTGATTTTTTACAGAGAGGAAGAGAGAGTGATAGAGTGTTAAAAATATCTATGAGAGAGAATCATCAATCAGCTGCCTCCTGCATATCCCCCACAGGGGACGTGCCTGCAACCAAGGTACATGCCCTTGACTGGAACCGAACCCAGGATCCCTCAGTCCACAGGCCGACCCTCCATCCACTGAACCAAACCAGTTTTGTCCAATAGTGATGATTCTTTTTTTTTTATTTATTTAATTTTATTGATTTTTTACAGAGAGAAAGGGAGAGAGCTAGAGAGCTAGAAACGTCGATGAGAGAGAAACATCGATCAGCTGCCTCTTGCACACCCAGGATGTGCCCGCAACCAATGTACATGCCCTTGACTGGAATCGAACCTGGGACCTTTCAGTCCACAGACCGACGCTCTACCGCTGAGCCAAACTGGTTTCGGCAATAGTGATGATTCTTAAATGCTAAAGAGACTGGGCTGAATTGACCATGGGAAATTATGTTTGAATAGTCATTGATAGGGGAAAGGGCTACAGTCATTGTGGTAGATGACCAGCAATAATTCCTCCATCTTGCTGTATGCTACTACCAAGAGATGTAGCCTGTTTCTCCTCCCTGGAATCTTGACAGACTCTGTTGTTTGGATTGGCCAATAGAATGAGGCAAAAATGATGCTGTTACAGTTCTGGGCCTAGACCTGGAGACTAGTTTATGAACTCTTGTTGAAATTGAATAATCACGTAAAGAAGTTTGGCTGCCTTGCTGAAAAGAAAGGCCTGGTAGGGGCGAAGTGCTTGTGGAGGAAAAGAGACTAAAGAAGGAGCTAGGTTTAGTGAGCCTCTAAGTATCCCCATCATTCCAGCTGCGACACTAGACATGCGACTGAAGTCATGTTGAATCCTCCAGCTCAAGTTAAGCCATCCCCAACCAACACCACATGAAGCAGAGACAAGCTGTCACTATGGTGTCCTGTCTATAGTATAGAATGGTGAGCAAGGAAATGGCTGTTGCTCTTCTAAGCTGCTACATTTTAGGTTAGTGTGTTACACACACTAGGTAACAGAAACTGATGTGTGAAAGTTGGTAGTAGCATACAGTAAGATGGTGGCATAACAAAAATCTAAAATGTGGTACAGGCTATGGGACTGGGGCATTGGTTGGAAAGGTGATGAGGGAACTCTAACTTAAAAAAAACACACACACACCGTTAAAATAGCTTTTAAAATTTTTATTTTGAAACAATTTTAGACTTACAAAAAACTTGCAAAAATGAGCCAGAGTTGATGTATATTCTTCTAATATTTCGGATACCCAGCTGGCCTAATCTTAATAGATTACAGAGCCATACACTAATTATCAAAACCAGGAAGTTAACATAAGGTACAGACAAGCAGGTATTGAATTTTTAAAATCATTAAAAAAAAACTTTTGGTACATGATAGATAGGGTCAGCTACAATATATAGAGGTTTCAACCCTCCCACTTGGGTTAGGAGATTTATTGGGTAGAAGAAAAAAGAAGAAAAACAAAATTTGAGAAGGGACATAACAACATTTTCCTTCAGGAACCTGCTTAACTGTGGGAAGGGGAGGAGATTTTTATTCAGCAACTTCTAGTAACTACCTGATATTGCTGTCTGGTTGACCAAATATCTGCCAACATTGGTGATCCTTTCATTCATGCCTCAAGAAAAACAGAGACCCAGTGCTTAGAGTAGCAGCAAAAATATTTCCCATTTTCTCCCTTTAGCTGATGAAAATGCTTGAAGGCCACTCATATTCCCACACTTCAGTGCTGGTGATGCACAACCTCTCTGCACCAGAATCACTGGTGGGGATTGAAAAGAATCCTCTCTCCTCAAGCCTAACTCCAACAGGGCACAAACAAACCCATTTTCTTCCCACCTGTGGATTTCAGAACTTCTCAGATTCGGGAAAAGCCATCCGCACAATGAGTAGGCGCCAGGGACTCTGGGGTCAAGCACAGCATTCTGAGAAACTAAAGTGGAACATTTTACTCCTCCCCAATCCACTTCCCTTCATTTAACTTCATTTTCACTTGGTCTTTCCCCACCAAGCAGTGGTGGATATTCAGCTGAGCACAGCTCCGGTTCTTACAATGAAATCTAGTGGGACATCTAGAAATCAGGGCCTCTTTGTCCTTGGTTATTTGTAAAATAAAGAAGTCTCTAGCTCACACTAGGCTGCATGGACAGGATTTTCATCTTTGGAAACCAAAGCAGGAGTAGTCTTTTCTCCCACTCTTTCCAGGTTGTTCTCCATTTTCTTTTAACTTAGATCCTTGACTCCCCCAGGCCCACCAGAACCATGCACCAAATCAGCTTCCAGTAAATATCAACACCGAAGGCTCAGCAGGATGCTAATTCTTGTAGACCCATCTTAAAAGGATGTTGTATTCAAATTACCAGATTTATGGAGCCTCAGAGATCGCTAAGAACATTGTAAGGTTTAATTAGTAGCCTTGGAGTTAGGTAATGGCCCGTGGCTTCTAAGCTAGGTCTCTTGAGATTTCTAGTCTTCAGGGGCTGCCTGCAACTATGATGTGCTCATACACAATCTTCTTTCTCATACACTGAAGAAATCCTCCTTAGGCCTTCCTAGGCACCTATTCCCAATTACTGCAACACACATACAAATGGATCTCCATTCTCCCAGTGCCCCTCAGCCTAAATCACCCAATCTTTGGACTGCAATTGTCTCCTCGAGTTCTACTTCCCAGGGGAAAGGAAAGGAGGACATTTCTTAGATTGGTGTTGATGGATGCCTCTTTTCTCCAGATAGAAGGTGGACAACTCGTTTTGCAGCTGATCCATGTCCCGGTAAAAGTGCTCCAGTTCTCAAGCTTCCAGAACCAGCTCTCTCACAGGGATAGGTCTGCTAATGGGGCTGCAAGCAGACTTGACAGGTTTGTTCTGGGCTGACGGCCATTGACTAGGTCCTCCGACCAGATAAGTCACTTGCCACTTGCCGAGTTTACAGTAGGTGGGGCGCGCTCACCAGCTCAGGGTTAGTGCCTGGAAGTTTGTTGCAACATCGGTGTATCCCAGCAGCAGCAGGCCGCTGCAAAAGTTACCCTGTTGCCCCGAGAGCACGGCACCAGCGAGGAAGAGACAGAGACAGACACAGACCTCCGGGGGCACAGCCCCTTCCCCTGCGCTAGGTAGTGCGCAGGGTTAGCCGATTCAGAGCTAGGAGGGTGGGAGCAGCTTGGGAACTCGTTCCTAGGTCTGCAAGAAGCAGCGGCCTCAGCCAGCGGTGCAGGAAGGCGGGGGCACGTGCTTGGATGTGGGTGCTTGTGTAACCAGCTTCCCAGCCGTCAGCCCCCCCAGAGCTCCGGCGGGAGGCCCTTCCGAGCCAGTTTGCCCCCCGCGGGAACCAGGGGGCCCTGGGGTCCCGCAGCCTGCACCAGCGCGCGCACCCCGGGCGGAGGAAGCGAACCGCCCGCCTCCCCAGCTATTCTAAGGGGAGTGGGAATTTGGAAAGTTCCCCAACTAGGAGCACACGTGACCTGAAAATAGTCCCGGCCGCAGCCCGGGGATCCCTCCACCTCCTTTTGAACCCTCCGCGGCCTCCCCGGCCCCGCCCACTCTCCGGCCGGGCTGCAGCCTCCGCCGCCGCGGCGCACTTCTCATTCCGGCCCCGGCGCCCTCCGCCCGCCCGGCCCCGGCGCGGAGCCCGGCCCCGGGGCGGTCCGCCAGCTCGCGTTTCCACCGCGGCCCTAAGGGGAGGGAGCGGGGCGCGGAAGCGGGGGACCGAGCTTGAGTTGGACGCGGTGAACCGAACCCGAGCTCCATCGGGGCCAAGGGCTCGGCGGCCCTCCAGGAGGCAATGCATGGGCGGCGGGGTGCAGCTATCCTAGGGATCCGCTTTCAGTCCCCCCTGACAGCTGTCCTTTGGGAACCTAGACATCCAGGGAGGATGTGCTGACAGTCAGCGCGCTCCCCTGGGAACTTTCGTTTTTGGGGGGCAGAAGGGCCGAGCGGCCGGGGAAGCGGGAGGTGGAGTGGGGAAAGGGGGTGCACACTGGAGACACAATAGGGGGTTGTGCTTTGTGCCAAGACTGACACCTTGAGGACACGGGGCGGGGGGAGGAGGAGGAGAAGAAGGGGGATTTTCCGGCAAAGGCCGCTGGATTCAAACCTCCGCGAAGGGCTGGGAGCCCACAGCGGCGTGAGACTGAGCCCGTGGGCCGTGCCGGGGAGATCTCAGGGCGGAGGCAGGGGGAGGGGTGTCCCCGCTGCAGGGACCGGGCCTGGCGCCTCCCTGTGCAATGACCAGCGCCGTCACCCGGGCCTTTGCACCTGTGCCCAGGTACCTTCCCACCCGAGTCAGTGACATCGCGCCAAGCACCCGCCTCCGCGTTCCCCTTCGCCACCCCGCAACCCTACCCCGCCTCCGGCTGGGCTTCTGGGCGCCGGCCGGGGCTGAGCGCGTCCCCCCCCACCCCCCCAGCCCCGCGCCGCTGCAGAAGCGGCCGCGGCAAGTGCACCTACTGCGGGCGGGCACCGCCGATCCAGCCCGAGCGGCCCCGGGCGCTCCCGCCGGGCAAGCTCAGTGGCGCCCGCAGGGTGGGCGTTCGCACCCGGAGCCGCCCCCTCCTCCCAACCCTAGCTGCCCGGGTCCCCTCCCTCCCCTCTCCCCGCCTCGGCTCCCTCGGCTCCCGGCGCGGCGGCGGCGGCGGCGGCGGAGGCGGAGGGGGCGGGCCCGCGGCGGTGGTGATGTGGCTGGACTCTTTGAGCGCCGCGGCAGGATACGCGCGCTGCGCGGTTGCGCGGCTGCGCTCAGCTCCCTCCTCTCGGAAGCTGCAGCCATGATGGAAGTTTGAGAGTTGAGCCGCTGAGAGGCGAGGCCGGGCGCAGGCGAAGGAGATGAGAGACGGCGGCGGCCGCGGCCCAGAGCCCCTCTCAGCGCCCGTGAGCAGCCGCGGGGGCAGCGCCCTGGGCGAGCCGGCCGGCCGGCGGCGGCGGCAGCGGCGGCGTCCCTCGCCGCCTCCTCCTCCTCCTCCTCCTCTCCGTCTTCTCTTCTAACCGGGCGGCAGCCGCTTCCTGGGGCTTCGGCGAGGGAACGGTGGAAGCCGGAGCCGGCACCGGCGCGGCGGCACCTCCCGCTCCTGGAGCGGGGGGCAGAGGCGGCGGCGGCGGCCGCGGCGGCTCCGGGGAGCGGTGCGGAGCCGCCCGTCACCATTTCCAGGGCTGGGGACGCCGGAGAGTTGGTCTCTCCCCTTCTCCTGCCTCCAACACGGCGGCGGCGGCGGCGGCACAGCCAGGGGCCCGGGCCGGCGCTGAGCCTCCCCTCCTCCGCCGCCGCCGCTCTCCCCCCGGCCCGGGCTCCCGAGGCCGCCGCCGGCGGAGGCAGCCGCCCCGAGGACTGCTGCTGGTCTTCTTCCCCCCGGCCCGCCGCCGCCGCCGCGGCCCGGGCCCCGGCCGCTGAGGCCCCGCAGGCCCCGCCGCCGCCGCCCGGCAGCCGCCGCAGCAGCCACCCGCCGGCGGCGCCGAGCCCCGCGGCCGCCGAGCGCGGGGCCTCCGCGGCCGCCAAGTCCAAAGCCATTTCCATCCTGCAGAAGAAGCCTCGCCACCAGCCGCTCCTGCCGTCTCTCTCCTCCTTCTTCTTCAGCCACCGGCTCCCAGACATGACAGCCATCATCAAGGAGATCGTCAGCAGAAACAAAAGGAGATACCAAGAGGATGGATTCGACTTAGACTTGACCTGTATCCATTTCTGCGGCTTTGCTCCCCCTTTGCCTTTCTGTCACTCTCTCTCTCTCTCTCTCTCTAGAACGTGGGAGCAGACGGAGGCGGAAAATGTCCATAGTTTGGGTGACGATTGCACTGAACCCTGGTCGAATTTCTAGGAGGATATATATATATATATATATATATATATATATATATATATATACATATATATACATATATGTGTATGTACATATATATATGTATGTGCATGTGTATATATGCACATATATATGAAATTTGTGTCTCTTGAGTGCATGCAACCTAGGATGTGTTCGGCTAGATGGGACTCTCATGCCTGGTTGCAAGTGTCAAGGCAGCGATCGGTTTCCCAGTCGGTGTCTTGGGGTCCCTTCCCTGAGGGCTATTGTCCGTTAATACGGAATACGGTTCGCTGTTGGGGAATGGTGAGCTTGGGAAGCCGGTCTGCTAAAGGAACAGGAGAGTAAGACGCGTTGAGGGTGAGCCTATTTCGATTAAATCTTGGCTGTAGGCCCTAGATGAAGGGTATAGAGATCAGATTAAAAAATGAAAATTGGTGTTGCACGTACTACACCTATTGCATCAGAATCTTGCAGTGATTGTTCTTAGTTTCCTGGGCCGCCTTGATAGATTCTTTTTTAAAAAATGTGAGCGGTGAGCTGATTTGCATAATTTTAGAAGCAGAATCCTTTGCAGCCTGTATGGTGCCCGTGGGAGGGCCAAAGTAGGGTTTGTGTGTTTCAGCTAAGTTAATGACAACTTTGACCTGCATGGAGAAGTTTTGTCCTTTGAGATAAGTGCCATCATATACCTCATAAGGTGCCCTGACTAGGTCTTTGTTACATTTGCCTTTCTCTCCTGATGGGGTGATGCAGGATAGAGCATGAAATTTGCAGTTCAAGTAGCATTTTATACTCTGCTCTTGTTACACCTAATAGAATGGAGATTGAGTGGTTTTTGATCCCAGATAATAATGTTGTGTAAGTTCAAGGGATTGTGTGTAGCAAATGGCGATCGCAAAGATTAAACTTAAGTTCTCACTTGAAATTTAAGTATTGTGATGCCAGAATTGCTACTCAACCTTATTTAGGTTTCAGGCCATCTGACATCTTTCTGTATCCCTTAAATTTACCCTGACTCGTGTAGGATGTCAAGTGTAATTTACCAGCTAATAACCAGAAATGCTGGTGAGTGGGTTACTCCAGCTTCAGTTGGTAGGTATGTTAAGCTTTTTTTTTTTTTTTTTTTTTTTGTGTGTGTGTGTGTGTGTGTGTGTGTTAAATTGACTGAGTCAGCTTGTTGGATAAGACAGAAACCCAAGAAATTTTTACTGTGTAGTGTATAGTTTTGATTGTCTACAAGTTAAGCCTTTGTACTTAGAACAGATAGTCGTTATCAAAAGGCAGTAACCTTTGCAGTTTCAGGTATAATAAGCTGGTTTTGATCAAGGATGGGGATAGAGCCCCTCCTTTTTGTAAAATGGAAAGTATCACAGGAATTGAGAGTTACTGATAGGCCAGTGTATAAGGCATGAAAAACAGAATTAAGTTACTGGTTTGAGGTGACTGAAAGATTCTATTAAGGCCAAAAATTTGGTGGTGTGAATTGTAGCAGTGGACAATAGTTAAAATTATTGCTTAAGTGCTTATAGAGTATTCTTAGTAAAAATGATTTTAGCAAATATCATTAAACATTTTGCTTTAAGGTAGAATGGCACTAACGTGTATATGTCTTGCTAAATATTGTGGGGAAGGGTTTTTTGGTTTTTTTTATAAAGTAAACATTTTATATTTGAAGAAGTTATATTCCTTTGGATATGTAGTTTCACATAAATGTGCACAGTTAATTTTGCCCGAGTTTTGTTTTGAAATGATAAAAGTTCTTGAACAAAATAGCTTGACAACACTCAAAATGTTAACAGTTTTCTAAGTTAAAAATAATATTGAAAAAATAATTGGAAATTTTGGAGGTTGCATTAATTGAAGAACTTCATTAAGGTTGAATTTGACCCACTTGCCTAGAAATAATTAATTGTAGGAAAATTTCTGATTTGTAACATTTCAAACATTATGTGTCATTGACAGTCATCTACGGTAGATATATAAGAACAAATTAATTGTTTTAAAAAAAACATTAAAAAAACCTTCTAGAATGCCTTTTGGTACACAAATCAAAGTTCGTTTATGCTATTTATATTTTACCTATTTGATTTAAAATTATTAGGGTTATAAAACTAAAATTATTCTACCCATTTTTTATATGTGAGTGGTGATTGAGGTGGCTGGCTATTTCTCCTTTCATTTCATGTGTGCCTATATGTGTGAAATTATCTCTAAAACTGTATATTTAGTTACCGTATGCATAGAAAGCAGTATCAAATATATTGCATCAAATAACTAATAACATTTAATTTCTAGAGTTGTGATTTTATTGAGCCAAAGGTTGATATGAAAAAAAAAATTGCTTAAGAAAAAGTCAGTGAAGGACTTTTTTTTTTTTTTTAATAGTTACATTTCCAATAATTTTGATATACAAAAACTTTGGTTTGCTTGGTTTCACTTTAGTGTTTTGTGTTTATTGTAGGGGGAAAATTTAAATGGCCATTGAAGCTTTTCTCTGGCAGGTTAGGTTGTAGGATCTGTTTCAACAGCTAGCCTGTTGAAAGTTAAATTCTTTTATGCAAGTAGCAACTGGAGTATTTTAGTTGATAGAGAAAGATTAATAATGAAGTGATTTCTCAAAGAAAAATTGAAGACCATAATGGTAAAAGATTTTTGCAAAATTGAATTATTCTAAAAATAATTTGTTGGCAGGGTTTTATTCTTAATGTTAGTCTGGAAAATAGTGCTGAACATGAGTCTATAAACTATGTAATGTCTTTAGATTTCATGAAAACTTTAGGCTTCTGGTGTTTTTATTGTCTGATAAGTTTGTGTCTTTTCAAATAGTAACCTTCATAGGAAATATTTTTAAGTTGTAGAGAGAGTAGAGTGCCTATTGAAATTAGCTGTATTAGCTCTTAAGATTAGTGATTACTAAAATGACCATATTGTGAGGTGTTTTGTTTTTTTTTTAACTTTTATTTTACACTGTTATGTATCAAGTTGTATTTCTTTCTTAAACAACGTAAGTGGGCCACTTAATTGCTATGTGATTATTTACAAAACTTTATTTCATATAGCTTATTTAAGAATAAAGTGCATCTGAAAGGAGAATAACTTACAGTTTATATGATTCAATATAAGGAAAAAGGAATTTTATTGCTGTCTACTGTAAATGTTTGCACAGTAGTTATCATCAATGCAGCTTTACATTGTTTATGATATCCTAAAATACTAAAGGAATAGTATGAGCTATAACCACCTTAATTTTAAATTTAGTTTTCCAAAGATAATAAAGACGCATTTGTGTGTATTACCTTTTAGAATTTTAACAACATTTAACAACAATGGTAGCTGCCAATATATTTTAATTTTTGTGTGGAGCAATTTATCTGCTTTTTCCTAATAACCACACATAATGTACAAACCTCTTAATGTTAGGAAATTCCTTGCTTTTTGGAAGTAAAATCTTCAGTTCTTACTTTCAAGGGTTCTTATTTTGAGATTTGCCCCATTTGCTGTTTTTCATTTGGTGATAGCTTAATATTTTAAATAATTTTTAAGGCTCTTAAGAAGTAATCACTTCAGTGACTTTTGATGGAGGAGCATTTATTATAGGAAAATCAATTCACAAAGTTTCAACGATAATTGACACTCAGTAAACATTATATTTTTAAATTTTTACCCCAGCCTTTTTAGTAAGATAAAAGTATGGGAAATGTTTTTATATTAATATTATATGTGAAATCAGAGTTTGTAAAGAGAGATTTAGAAGTGTTCATGCATATAACAGTTTTTTACTTATTTGAAATATTAAGCCTTGGCTGTACTATCAGGATTTAGCTTCCAGAATATATGTTATTAATGTAGTATAAGAAATTTATTTGGTATCATTTTTTTTTAAAAGACTCCATTAGTTCTGAATTTTTCTATTTTGTAGAACCCTCATTCTTATTCTTTTTCTTCCCTCACCCTCCTTCTTAGATAAACTTGATTTTAAGTATAGTCATAGAATTCTTTTGTGGACTGAATTCATTAAGGAAGGTGTTAGGATTTGTGCTAAGGATAGTGATTTAAGACATTTGTATCAACTTGTGAGATTGGGGTCAGTAATGATTTCAGTAAATACCCAGTTCTGTTTTACAGTTGCTTTTTATCTGTTAGTTTTGAAATTAGTGCAGTTGCTATCAGGGATATCAATAATGTTGAGGTTAGACTTAAATTGGTAAAGATTTTTTGAGTAAGTTGAAATCATAATTCTTTCATAATAGCCATATGCAGCCACATTCCTTCTTTGCTGGATGGCCAAAAGTATTTTGGTCTGTGAATAATAAGTCTCTTTGGAAGTATTGAATATATGCACTTGCTAATTTAAAATGCTTTCATTTGTCAGGAAAGATGAAATTAGTGTATTAGATTTGACTATTTACCTATCCCCTAATTTTTTGAAAAACTTTCATTGGTTACAGATATTAGCAATTTGGTCCTTTTATTATAACTTGCACAATAATAAAAAAAAATGGTTGTTGGAAAAATATTAATATAAAAAGAATAATTCAGGGCGTGAAATAATTTTGGGTGGGGAGTTTTAATTTAATTCCAGTATAGTTAAGGCAGATACTCTTCATTTGCAGCAGTTGGCAGTTAAGAGACGGTGGATATCTTCAGATTACTAGGATTACACTTGGTGTTGAGAATATTAACAGATGGATACTGTGGCTGAACTTGTCAGCAAAAGAAGATTCTTGTACATAGTGTGGAAAAGAAGACTGTATACAGAGAATTTTCAAACACTTATAAGTTAGATTCATGTCCATAAATATGAAGAGTGAATCTATATGGACAATGGATCTAATTTATAAGTGTGTGACTATTCTAGATATACAGGTAAAT